TGTGACCCGTTTCTGAAATGAGAATAATGTCGACGAATTGGCTACACGATACTGCTCTTGATGCCCATGGATCATGATGCAAGATTGACGGCCCTAAAGCTAAAGGTAACAGGCCGAAGGCAAAAAGTCAGCATCCTCACCGTCTAAGTGAATAAAGCTACAGATTGTCTCTTGTGTTCTATAAAAATAGGATTTCCATTCTTCAGCTTTTAACCTTAGGCGAATCCCGGCTTTCAGGAGGAACAAACCAATGTGTTTGGGCCAAAAGTAACACACCTAACTCTAACATAACTTCCCCAAATCTGATAAAGAGCCTGCTAATGTTATCCTGACTGACTCTGATGATGTTCAATCCTCCTTTTTCTCCTTTAAAAAATAAGACATATTATTCGTTTGGGTCACAACAAAAAATCATACCATACAAAAATCTACTAACCAGTATTCGCGCTGTCAGCAAACTCATGTTTTTTCTACAGTTATAGTCTCCAAACCATCAAGGGTTCTGTGATGTTAAAATGAATTACTTAAATGGCTACTAGCTGCTTCTAGCCTTGCCTTGGGCCATATTTAGCCTTGTATCCTCCCAGTCTTTTAGCACAATGAATCATAGCCCATGGAGGGAATTTATGATTCTGATTTTGACCTCAGCCCAGAAACATTGAAAAGTGCACGCTGTAAGACATGCGTTGTCCGGCCACCCTCGCTGACATTAACATTGATTAATCTGCCTTGTTAAAGAAGTTCTTAGTTGACAAAATCAAACAATTCGCTGGCCTAGAAATGAGAGAAGCCTGTTGTGTCGACCTGCTGCTCTGAAATCACAGACTCATTGTCTCATGATTACCATTAACTTTGATGTAAATTCTGCCACCCATTACCTTTATAGACTGCATATGTTCCATGTAAGAAAGCTCTCTTTGTCCAAGTATTCACTTAGTTGTTTGGTATTGTATTTATGTGGTGTGTTTATAACGTTGTTGAATTTTTTAAAATTTTAAGTCCAACTGAAAAGCTAACATGGAAACATCTCTGATCATGTTTCCAAGAAACAAAAATGTTAAGTGCTTCGGGTCCCCTGGTTTAAGCTCAGGGGTAAGAGCTGCGCGACGCCATGCTAACAAAGCTGAGTCTTTTGCTGGCAGCGGCCCAGGGTTCGAATCGCGACCTGTGGCCCTTTGCTTCGCGTGCTCATCCCCTCCTCTCTCGCCCCCCTTTCCTGTTT